TTTCCCGTTGAAGCAAATATAGTCGTTCATGACTAATTTGATCTTTTCATTTAATGCATTTGGTCTTGCATTAAATGTTGCTTCGTATTCTTAGACATTGCGTGTATTCTTCTCTGTCCTGTTACAACAGTGTTTGACTTTATCTGAGACTAAGAAATTATTTTTCTTTTTCTGGTCATGCAGCAATATAGCCGTTGTCCTTTTTCTGAAAAAGTAATGTACTTTTTCTGACACATGCATGCTCTGCTTTTGTATGCTTCTCTTCTTCTTTGTTTCTTCATTTAGATCACGCGTTTTACGTTGAAAGCTTTTGTGTGGTCATAGACGATGTCTTTGCTTGTTTCTTGAGACGTGATTCTTTATTTGCTTGCGTGCCAGTCTTCATCTTCATTTGTTGGTCCTGTGTATTTCAATCTTTGACTTTTGCTTCAACGTCTGAGTTTTTGACTTTTCTTTGGTATGATTAACAATGTGAATAGACAAACATTGTTTCCATCTAGAGTGTCTCTCAGTCTGTGTTGTCTTTTGTCTAATGCATAGTTGGCTTTCTTTTTGACCTTAGACATATGCCTCGTCGGATTTGCGCTTTGAGATAGTTGTACTAGACACATTTTTGTCTGAGTATTTTATGATCAACTAGAGCATTTACGTGTTCCAACTATTCTTTTCTTGACGCTCGGTTTCCTACATCACTTGTTTCATCTGTTTCAACTTGTTTAGTTCATGTCTTGCCTTGACTATTCCTCATAGGCTTCGTCTGATATTTTAGTGTCTCATTCTGGTGGTTGTCCTCTTCCGTCTGTGAGCAGACTTCATTTTTATGCTTGATTACCTATTATTTGATTCTTTCATCTGGTATGTACAATCTTCATGGATTGTGACATTTAATGCTTCAGACTTTGCATTTAATGTTTGCTTGTTGAATTTGCGCTTCTCGAGATCTTTTGTACCATTTGTCTGCTTCTATGATTGGCATTAAGATATCTCTGTACATTCTTGGTATTGTAGCGGTAGAGGCGTTGTTCTTTGCTGACTGGTAGGTGTACTTGCTCTGACACACGCTGTTTTGATTTGTGGATAAGCGCTCGTCCATGTTTCTTATCTTCCTTCTTCTATTTTGATGTCTTCATGTGTTCTTCCGGAAGTGTGGATGCTAGATAGTTCGTCTCGTTGTGTCTTCAGACGCAATACAGCTTTCTTGACCATCGTTTGTGTATTTGAGTCTCCGTCTAGTTGGCTGTTGTAAGTACATGACTCTCCCTAGGGTGCTCTTGCTTGGATTTTCCCATTGTCCATGGTCTTGGATGGTCTGAGTCTTCATTATTTCCCTTGTTATGCTAGGCTTGATTTCGTTTGATTGTTTGATCTCCTTATCTGACGTCTTGTTAGCTTTTGCCCTTCATCTTGGTTGCTCGTGTCCTGTTCTTTATTTCTTGTGTAGGTGTCTTTATCTGATGTATTCCCTTCGTTTGCTCAGCCTTTATCCAATGCTTGCCTCACATCTCCTTGATTTTGGTATGGATGTATATTCTCTATTCAGCAGTTTACTTGAACTTGTATCTGAAACACTAACACACTTGTTAATAATAACAATATGTATTATAATTATCTCATTCAAAACCTTGTTGGGAATTGCTTTCGTCTTCGTTTGACTTAACAGTAAATGGTGTGGCCATATGTGGTGGTGGCTGAGAGATTGATCAAGTTTGGCCATTGTGCGACGCTCTAAATTGATGTTTCTTAGAAGGTTGCATTACATATGCATTGATGTGAGCATGAGCATGACATATGAGCTGTATGATGATGTGATTGTGGTGATAATCATTACTGGATATATGTGATGATGAAATTATTGTGATTGAAATGAATGTGGGTTGACTATATGTTTGGGTGAAATTCTTTTCTTGAGTTTTTCATGTGAATGCTTATTTTTTTCTTTCATCTTCATTGTGGTGTATTTTAGGTAATGACTTAAGTGATGAGGCCGATACTCAAGGTATCAAGAGCTAAAGTAATGAGTTTACTCTGATGTAACATCGGGGCAACGAGATTAGAATAGGATTTTACAACTCATTTTGATTACTATTTCTTTCTTGTTTAGATACAATTGCAAATCTTATGCTTATAATTTTGTTTTAATTTGGTTGGATGTTTAAAGGCGATTTTCATGTAACCTATTTTACTTGCAAGTTTTTAATTGATTTTTGTCCTTATTCAATTGCATTAGTTGTTGGGGGTAGAATGAGTGTCACAAATGTAATACTATTAACTCTCAAGGGAAAGTAACCGTAATTTACTCTAACTTTTTTTATATCTTCAACTGCTATTTCATTTTTATTTTATTCAGCGTATCTTAACGAAAATTTAAAAATAAAAACCAAAATTACATATGCCAGTTACAAGAAGATCACTAGAATAATTATGAGATTTGAGAATTATAGTCACAAAAAATAATTCAATTCCAAGAAAATAAAGCCACTAAGATAAATAAAAATAAAAGTGTTTCACTTTGTAATTATTTTGATTATAAAAAATATTAAATTTAATGTAATCACAAATCAAAATTGTAATAATCACTATTATAAAGAATGATTATAAGATGGATCGCTATCATATGTGGTCCACTATACATAATTATTTATGGCCTTCAAATTAATCTTGACACAAACTCTTACTATGTGCCCTATAACACCCCAGTTTTCATACTTTTTATTAAGGGTGATTTAATAATTTTCATAAAATTTATTTTCAGTGTTTTAGTAACCCAGAACGGACCATTCCAAACTACTAAAATGGCTTATAACCCTAGTTGGGAACAGGTTGTTCTGGTTTAAGAACGAGTCGTTCCAAACATGGTCGTTACGTGTTAAAATGTAACCCCAGAATGGACCGTTCTGGTTTGAGAATAGGCGGTTCCAGATGTGAATTTTACCCATGACGAATGAGTTTAGAACGTGTCGTTTTGGATTTGAAATGGGACGTTCTAGCCACTCCTGACATCTATAAATAGTAGACTCTGGCACTACTTCTAGACACACTCTTTGAAGACCAAGGAAAACCAAGAGAAGAAGATCGACCAGATTCTGCTCTAGCTTCGTCTTCTGCTTATCCAGGTAAGGGGGGAGTGAGAAACCTCGCTCGGGGGTGTGGGAATAATTGTTGGGTAGTTGGATTGGCCCTCAATCCCTTGCCTGATTCATGCTTCTAGGAACAGGCAAAATATGAATGTTTTTTGTTTTGCCTTCTGATTGTTCTATTGTGTTCCTTGTTGGATGTGATGTATGAATATGTGATTAATTTTAAAAGTAAACAAGTTTTGATATGAATTAGAGTACTCTATGGCTTCCTGAGAGAACCCTATGAGAAACATGCCAAATCTGAATGTTTTCTGTTTTGCCTTCTGATTGTTCTGTTGTGTTCCTTGTGTGATGTAGAGTGTAAATATGTATTTGATTTCAAAATTAGATAAGTTTTGATATGAATTAAAGTGCTCTGTGCGTTCCTGTGGGAAACCCTATGAGGAACAATTATGAGTATGACTATGTGAAATATGAACAAATGACATGAGACATGATGTGAATAAGAATGTGCTAATGTGAACACTATGACTATGAGAATGTGAAACGTGATGAAATCAGATAAGACATGAAAATTCTATGACAAGTGAAATGTTGAGTCAATGAAATAGTGAATGTGTGACATGCATCATGTGCATATATGACTTATTCCAAGTGTGCCGCTTAGGCCGCATACCAGTGATGTAACAAGCTATGTGATGAAATGACTTATTCCAGGTGTGCCACTTAGGCCGCATACCAGTGATGTAACAAGCTATGTGATGAAATGACTTATTCTAGGTGTGCCGCTTAGGCCGCATACCAGTGATGTAACAAGCTATGTGATGAAATGACTTATTCTAGGTGTGCCGCTTAGGCCGCATACCAGTGATGTAACAAGCTATGTGATGAAATGACTTATTCTAGGTGTGCCGCTTAGGCCGCATACCAGTGATGTAACAAGATATGTGATGAAATGATTTATTCTAGGTGTGCCGCTTAGGCTGCATACTAGTGATGTAACAAGCTATTCTAGGTGTACCTTGGGTCACTAGTGATGAAATGATGAGAAATGTGAAACTTCTGTATGGCGCCACATGCATGCATTTACGAGTTGAGTCCATGACATCATTGCATGATAAATGAGTATGCATGTGATATTGATTGTGTATGTGTATTTTTTACATGTAATTTATGCTTGTGACTTATGTTTGTTGTGTGTGTGTTATCTAACATTTATTTCTACATCTGAACATGAGTGAGATGTTTCTCACTCCCTTGTTGTTCTTTGTATGTGTTTAAATTGTGTTGCAGGTGATCATCAGCACGAGAATGTTGGTCACGAGGCTTAGGCTTTAGTTGGGCATGCTTTGATAGGATATGTGACATTGGGGCATCACTAGGCTTAGTTTAGGATTTCCTTATTGTTATTTTGTTTTGGAAAAGATTCATTTTTTTTTATCAATTTCGCATTTGACCATGTTTGAAGTTTAAGAATGTGAATTCTCTACTCTTATGTTAATGAATTCATTATTTTAATTCTAAAGATTTTATTTAAACCAAGAATATGTTTTTATAATTGTTGTATATGTATGTTGGGGTAGAGGGTGTCACATTTAGTGGTATCAGAGCTGGTCGATCCAATCGGCCATGAGTTAAGAGTCTACTATGCTTGTTTGATAGATGAATGATGGAATGAATTAGCTGTGGAACTTAATGATATGCTAGTGCAATGATTGATTATGTTTATTGTTTATTTAATTATGTGTACTGTTTTCTTAGATTATGGCTAGTAGAAATGATCGTGTGATTGCTAATGCCCTTCAAGCGTTAGTACAAGCTATGAGTAATAATGATAGGGCTGGAGTCACTCATAACTGGTTGGAGCAATTTTAGCGAAATCATTCACCTACCTTCAAAGGACGATATGACCTAGATGCTGCTATGAATTGGCTAACGGAGATCGATAAGATCTTCAATGTCATGGAGTGTCTTCTCGCTCAGAAGGTGAGGTTGGCCACCTTCATGTTGACTGCTGATGCCCACTTTTGGTGGGAAGGAGTACTTCAGAGAATGATTGATGGAAGGGTGCACTTGAATTGCGACAACTCCAAGAGGGTCTTCCTTGAGAAGTATTTCCCGGATAATGTGAGGAGTCAGAAAGAAGTGGAATTCCTTGAGCTGACGCAAGGGAATGACACAGTGGCAGAGTATGCTTCCAAATGTGATGTTTTGGTTTGCTATTGTACTCACTACCATGGCGAGGGTGGTGAAAGAGCTAAGTGCATAAAGTTTGTAAATGGTCTGCGTCCTGAGGTGAAGACTGCAATTAACTATCAAGAGATCTATCACTTTCCTACTTTGGTCAATAAGTGTAGCATTTATAATCATGACAACGGTGCTCGTGCTGCTTTCTACAAAGGAGTTGGAGGTCCTATCCATGTTGCAAGTTCTAATGCTTCGAGTAGGAGTAAGCCTTACTCCGCTCCTTCTAGATTCCAAGGGAGTAAAGTTGCTACTAGTGGAAGCAAGTCATTTACTAGAGGATCCATTGTTAGTGCTACTGGAAGTGTTGGAGGGTTTGTGTCAACTCCTTCAGGCAAATGCTGGAAGTATGGGTGTGCTGGTCATAATTAGTTTCAGTGTCGTGACAAAGAGGTTACCTGCTTCAACTACAATGGTAAGGGTCACATTAGCACCCAATGTCTTGAACCGCCAAGACCACGTGTTACTGGATGGGTTCGCAAGTTGAGCGTCCAAAGGCTATAGGGAGAGTATTTGCTTTTAGTGGTGCTGAAGCTGCTCGGTCAGGAAATCTGATACAAGGTGCTTGTTTCATAGCTAAGACTCTTTTTGTTGTACTATTTGATTCTAGTGCAACTCATTCCTTTATTTCTGTCTTTTGTGTCCAAAAGTTGGATTTGCCTATATCTTGTTTAGATTTTGATTTGATATGTGTGTATGTTGATACAAGGATAGATGACCTTATGGATCAATTAGTGGGTGTTTGTGTGTTTAGTAAGATTAACCTTAGGGTGTGATATCATCATATTAGAGATAAGGATGAAGATGTATCCAAGACAGTTTTATGTTGTTATCTAAGTGTGATTTTTTATTGTATGAGGTGAGTTTTCTAGGCCCTGTAATCTCTAGCAGAGGTATAACGTAGATCTATCTAAGGTAGAAGTTGTACTTAAGTTGGAGATACCAAAGTCAGTTAGTGAGGTTAGGAGTTTTCTTAGGATAGCTTATTCTTATTGGAGATTTATTGAGTAAATTTCTAAGATAACATTACCTTTGAGTAGATTGACCAGGAAAAGTGTTGTCTTTATGCGGGATAGTAAGTGCGAGAGTAGTTTCCAAACTCTTAAAGAAAGATTGACTACTGTTAATATTACCGGATTTTAGTAAGCCTTTTGTGGTATATAGTAGTGCTTCTATGATAAGCTTGGGTGGAGTGTTGATGCAAGAAGGAAAGGTAGTAGCTTATATTTTAGGCAATTGAAAATTTATGAGAGGAATTACCTTACCCATGACCTTAAGTTAGCGGTTGTAATATTTACACTAAGATTTGGAGACATTACCTATATGATTTTAAGCTTGAGGTATTTAGTGATCATAAGAGCCTTAAATATCTTTTGACCAAATGAGTTGAATATTAGACAAAGGAGATAGTTGGAATTTCTTAAGGAATAAGATTTTGGTCTTATTTGTTATTTGGGCAAAGCCAATGTGGTGACCAATGTTTTGAGTAGGAAACATTTTTATTTATCTTCCCTTATGATTAGAGAGATGGATCTTTGGGCTCAAATTAAGGATTTAAGTTTGACTTGTGAGATTACTCCTAGTAATGTGAAACTAGGTATGACTCGAGTAAATCGTTGAAAGAAATTGGAGAAGCATAATTAGTTGATTCATTTTGGTGACAAGATATAAGGCTATAGGATAAGGTAATGGATAAGAGTTTGCCTTAGGTGTAGATGGAGTTGTAAGATTTTGAGATCGAGTATGTGTACCTAGTGAACTTATGCTTAGGTGTTTGATCTTTGGAGAGGGTCATAAAACTAAAACTAATATTGTGACAGATGTCTTGAGTAGGATGATCATTCATCTATTGTTTTTGATGATGTAAGAGTTGGATTTGATAGAGGAGCTTAGAGAGTTAAGCGTGATGTGTGAGCTCACCCTTAAGAGCATTGGATTGAGTATGTTGGAAAGGACTAATAGATTAATGGATGAGATTAGAGAACCCCAGGAGTTAGATCCTTTCTTAGTGAACCAAGTGGAGAGGATTGGTAGGGGTATAGATAGTCCTTTACCAGTAGAAGTTGATGGTGTTTTGGGATGACTGTCTTCCCCACCTAGAATTTGCATATAATAGAGTAGTTCATAAGACTACAAATCTTTCACCTTTTAAAGTTGTATATGGCTTTAACCCAATAACTTCTCTTGATCTACTACCCCTTCCTAATACTCCTTACTTGTTTCACAAAGAAGGCGTATCTAGGGCGGATTTTATTAAAAAATATCATGAAAAGATCAAGAGCCAAATTGAAAAGCAAACAAAAAAATATGTCAAATACAACAACAAAGGAAGAAAGAAAATCACTTTTGAAGTTGAGGATTGGGTTTGGCTTCATTTGAGGAAGGATAGATTTCCCACTCAAAGGATGTCAAAACTAAACCCTAGGGGAGATGGACCATTCCAAGTCCTTCACAAAATAAATGACAATACATATCAATTAGACCTTCTTTCTGAGTATGACATTAGCTCATCTTTTAATGTATGTGATCTCACACCATTTTTAGGAGCTGAGGATATGGATGAAGATTTTAATCTGAGGGCAGATGCTTCTCAAGAAGGAGGGGATGATGGAGGACAATCCTTGAGGATACATGTGGGCCCCATTACTAGGTCGATGGCTAGGAGAGTGGAAGAGGAGAAGGGAGCTCACACACCAAGGGACGACCTCCTCATGATCATAGAGTACTAAAATACTTTCCTAAGCTTCATTAGTATATTTTTATTTTATTTTCCAATTTTACCCTTGTATTTTGGGGTATCTTAGTCATAGGATATATTTTCTTTTGTATTTTCCATTTTACTCTTGTATTATGGGGTGTTTTAGATCATAGGATTTTATTTTTGGACTAAGGTATTTAATTAGGAGGCTAGACTTATTTTTAGTGGTTTTTGGACCTATTTTTGGACTTAGAAAGGCTTAGGCCCAAGTGGAGGGCAAATGTTGCATGGTCTTATCATGCATCTAGATACATCTAGGATTAATTTGGGTTTCATTTAGTGTGCATTTGACATTGTAAATTTCGGCCAATGCAACCCTAATAAATGCAACCCTAGATTTTAGATTTTATTTACTATGTTTTATAATCAAAAGAAATCTAATATTAAATTACAAGATAATAAAAATTATAACTAAAATCATAATAAATTTTCTAATATTAAATTTAGTATATATTAAAATTAATTAAATATTTGTATTTAAGAAATTATTGCAGATTTTAGATATATATTTTAAAGTTTTTATTTTATTAAATTAATTAAAAATTATTTATATTTTCTCACTTTTTAATAAAGTGAGTGAATGATAATGAATTAACTAAAATTTTAAAATATATTTTAATTCAAAATAATTTTTGAAAATACGGTGGCTAAAAGTATTATAATAAATAATTAAATTAAAAAAAATCTTATAATGGTTATTTTTTAATGATGAAAAATTAAATATTATAATTATTTTACAATAAATTAAAATGAAAACACTTTTTATAATTATTTAGTGAGCTTATCTCTTCAGAAACAAATCAACATTCACTTTTTCCAAACACTTACTTTCTCTCATGTTTCTGATTTCTAATTTCTGAAACCCTTATTTCTGATTTCTCAAAGTTTAGAAAGTGAGAAATCATAAGCTTCTGTATTATATATATTTATATTACTTTCAATATTATATCAAGAAATCAAAGTGACGCAGCGGTAGCATGGTTGGCCCATAACCCACACACGTCCAACAATTGAAACCTGGCTTTGACATTTTAATAAAAAAATATTCATCATTATAGATTTCATAACAGCGGGAGTACCACACCACATCAATTGAAATTTTAATCAAAAAATTTAGCGACCGATTTTAATTTGGTCGCTAAGTTTAAATTATATTTTGCGACAAAAAAAACCGTCGTTATAAAAAGGTTGCTTTGTATTTTTTAGCTACCAAAATTTAATTGGTCGCTAAAAAAATTCAAAAGTTTAGGATTAGCGACCGAATTAAATTCGGTCGCAATTTTTTTGATAATTTATTCAAAATTTGTCGCTAATTTTGTCGCAAACTATGTTTTCATGAAACACAATTAAACAGCGACTGATTTAGCGACCGATTTTCTCGCTACCACTCTAATCGGTTGCTAATTCAATCACAATATAGCGACTGATAAATTTTGGTCGCTAAATTGGTCGCTAATTCGGTCGCAAAATAGCGACCGATAAATTTCGGTCGCTATTTTGTATTTTTCTTGTAGTGAGAAGCCAGAAAATGATGTAGACGTTGTTTTACCTCGCTTAGGACCCCTACTCAACAACATGTTGAGGAAGATGAGGAGGAGGAAGATGATGAGTATGAGGATGATGAGTAGCTTGGTCACTTATTTATGTTTTTATCACTTCAGACTTATGAATATGTACAATAATATATCACTTTATCAAATTATTATTTTCTCACTCATTATTTTAGTTATTATAAAATTTGATTATTTTTAAATTAATATTCAACCAAAATAAACCAACATTTTCGTAAATACTATGTAAAATAAACTTAAACAACATTATAATTTTTGTTGATAAAAATTATGACATCATTCATCTTCACAGTTATATTGTAGTGGACAATTGCGTCTGTTATGTCCTTCTTGTCTACATTTGCCACATTTTTGCTTAACCGTATTTTTGACAACATCTTTATTTTCAAACCCAAGACCAACATATAAATCATCACCAATTAACCAGGTACTTGGCAATTCCATCCCCAGAATTTCTTCCTAATCCGAGTAACTCCAATTTATATTTTTAAAATGAGGCAAATTACATCAAAATTGACTTCCCCCTATTACAACCAACAATAATTTAAAAAAAAAAAATAATGACTAAAACTTTTATTTAAAATACTACCTTCCTCAAAATGAACCACATAAATTGGTTTAACAACACCGTCATCAAATGATATACAATCATCTATTTGATTTTCACTTGATTCGTCTCCACTTTGAAATGAAAGAGAAACATAGTGGTCTTCATCACACTCGTTCTCGTCATATTCAACATATTCTCTTGGCATTTTTTCCAAACAATGTTGTTCATTAGCCGAAAAAAGTGACAGATTTTGCAATGGAATTGAAGTTGTACTTTCGACACTGATTTCAACATATAATTCTATTATTGACATAATTGTTAGGCTCTGAAATGCGTCTATCATACATTGAAAGTCATCATTATCACTCATTCCATTGTTTCATATTTATTTTCCAGCTAAAAGATGATATTGTAAAGATAATGTAACTTTATCATCTTTAAGACAAAATTTGTTATAAATCCTTTTTTTTTCAAACCATCAAAAGCAATATTT